CCCCAAAACCCCAAAACCCCAAAACCCCATTATTTTCTAAATAAATTGGAAAAATAAAATGCAAAGCTTCAAAAGAGCACGCTTGAGTCCAGTTACTAGACCGTAAGCAGAACCATAATGTTTAGAACTCCCAAGCGGTTGGTTCGTTCAAGTAGGAAAAGAATTAGTTTTTCAACAAGAAAACACCAAAAGGTTGAGAAAATTCTGAAATTTCCTGTAAGTTTACCTTAACAGGAATTATAGAGGAATCTCCATGCAGTTCAGCAAGCTCATAATAAAATTTTGAACAATACCAAGGATGGATCATCCAAAGGGTTTGGAAATTTAAGCATTAGTGAAACCATTGAGAAGTCTCCTCATCCTCCTGCTGATGATTACTTATTGCTAGAAAATAGCAAAATCAAAAATGTGAAGCTACATAGTGTCCGAAGCGGCTTCATCAGCAAGAGAGTTCAAACTGGAAGGTAGAGTGTGGAGTCTAGGTATAGATATGCCAGAGATTTACAAGGCGAGATTGCTGATAATGACTATAACACATTCAGTATCCTCAATAACCCTGAAGCTCCCAATAAGAGCAACCCCAGACTCTTCAAAATTATGAATAAAGCTAGAAGAATTACCTATGAAGCTTCTAAAGATAAGAGAGACTCTACAAGGAGATTCTTTATGCAGAATGTGTATCAGATAGCTAAAGAACGTAAACAAAGAAAAAGAGGTGAATCATCATTGACAGTACAGATGCAAGAAGTTCCTCCGCCACTCAATCTATAACTTCTCTGAGCAGCAGAGGAGAAATACAACCCAAGAAAACAAGAAATTCTGAAGTTCGTAAGTCAAAGGGACCTGAAGATAAACAAAGCTTGAGCTTAGAATCAAGACACTCTCACCAAAAACACGATCGGAAAGTTCTAAATTTAAGTTTGAAACCTTGAAAGATATTTTCCCAAACCGAATTAGACAACCTCGAAGTAGAGAAATCACAAACCACTCCAGCCCCTGTGAAGAATAAATATCTAAATTATCCCGTCGATCAAAATAAAGTGAACAATTACTTTGAAGACCCAGAATACTGGATGTACAGAGGAGAAATACTTAAACGAAAATAATAATATAGACGGAGCTATCAATAACTATAAAAGTCTTAAAGGGAACCTCTCGCTACATTTCTCCCTAGGGACATCATATATGCAGAAATAAACAGTATGAGAGAGCATTGGCCTATTTTAGGTCAATCCTTGAGCAAGATGCCTCCCATGTTAAGTCTCACTTTTGCTTGACTTTGTCCCTATTCAGACTGGAAAGATATGAAGCAGCTTTAGATCATATTGATAAAGTTCTCAGCTATCCCCTGTCTAAATTTCTCCAAATACACTCAAAAATCCCAACCAAATAGCCCAAGCCCATTCTCCAAAACTTCAAAAAATTCCCTTAAAAAGCTCTAAAATTACCTCAAAATTCAGAAATTTACTCCTGGATTTGTCTGAGGGGTATGTGCTACAAACAGCTTGGAATCCACGAAAATGCAAAAACTGACCTGGAATACCTCAAAAGTTTTAGCCCAGTCAAGACCTTGGATGAGCTGCTTGATGAAAACAGGTATTGCCCTTCATACAAGGAGATTTATATCCGGGATAAATAAGGCACCGCATGTACTCCTGACGAAGGATTTTTACATCGAAGGGGATGGCTGGAGAAATGATGGCATCCCAGAAGCAGTAGAGGTCCTTAGAGAAGTCACCTTCTTCTCGAAATTCTGATATTTGGACATTAAAGCGTATATTAGTAAGATGTGGGTCAAGACTTATGAAGCACAACAGCTGATACTCGTGCCGAATGATACTGCGTGAATTGTTATGGGAGGATATATGAAATTTCACAAATTTTAATTGCAAAACAAAAGAATCAATGCTCTGTAAACTACTATTCCAGGGTGATTTTGTGTTCAATAGTAATAGTTTCAGACCTCCAATCGACTTCTGGCTTGAAACAATAACCCCTGTGGAGTTATTGTTTATGAAGAAAGTTGATTTTGAGGTATTATGGGAATTAATGAAGCAGAAAAGCACCCAATATGTTGTAGATTTCCTCAAGGAGCACTTTCTATTCTGCACTCTTAGTAAACAAACCAAATATTTGCTTGCTTATGATGTATTGACTATAAAGAAGTAAGAAACAAATTATTCACTACTAGATTTCGGAAAGGCGATAAGATCCTTTCATTCACAAAACTATCAGACAAAGCAATATCTGCATCCAAAGAGAAGAGCCATAGGCTCAGAAAGAGATTCATAGGTACATTGCCTACAAAAATATAGATGCGAATCACTTGCTCTCAGAGAAACTTAAATAAAGCTCAAAAATATGCAGATGAAGGCCTCCATGACAAAATAGACCAGCTCGTCCATATTGATAGTAAGAACTAGCTTAATTTCTAGACTACTCCGATGACTCTGGTAAGCCATCTTCGATATTTTAGGTGAGGCAGAAGAGATCATGAAGATGGTTCAAAAACAAGATGAGCTAAAATAGACTAGGTTTTCAAAAATCAGCTCAAAAGTTTGCTCAAAGTCGCAAAATTAAGCATAAAAATATCAGTATTTCAGGTATAAACTCAGGTCTTAGGAAGGATATGCACAAGGTACTATTTGTTATTTCCCAGTCATATAGAGTCCAACAGTAGGGTTTATAAAGAACTCGACTACATTAACTCCATCCTACTTCGAAAATGAGTTAAGAAAGCTTGAAGTCCCAGACAAAGAGATGGAAACTTGCCAAAAATAGCCAAATAAAGTTCATAATTAACGAAATAATGGGTGAATTCCTATTTGATAAATCCTGCCCAAACCCATCAATCTCTGATAAAATAGATACAGATAAGGTTTTCAAAGTGGAGAATGACTACATCGGCCAAGATGGGATCTACATCGGTATGACAATGTTTCATAGCTTAGTTGATAAAGGCAAATGATCGTTAGTTTTCCCCAACGAAGACACTCTTGTTGCTAAATTAGGGAAATATGACTTTTTCGGTCCTATATTTTACCTTGAGATGATCAAGAAAGTTCTGTTTACGAAGGATTTAACAACAATAACCGTTGTTGCTGATACCCAAGAGGTTACTTGCTTGTTCTTCTCGATGAAAAGATTTGGTAAAATTCCAAAATATGAAAGACCAATTGTTCTAAAATTGTTTGAAAAAGCAGCTGAGATGTATTCTAAAAAGATTGGTTGATAGCTTCAATATCTTGAAAATATATTGGGGTTTTGGGGTTTTGGGGTTTTGGGGTTTTGGGGTTTTGGGGTTTTGGGG